TGTGTGTGTGTGTGTGTGTGTGTGTGTGTGTATGTGTGTGTGTGTGTGTCTGTTTGTTTGTTTGTGTGTTCGTGTATAATTACCCTCATATAAAATACAGATAGTGTCATTATGTATGTATATCTGCACATATCATTAACCAGGTGTGCAACAAAAAATCATATCTTAAATTGCTGTGCGTTGTCGTATAGTATTTCACCTTATACTGTATCCCTGAGCTCATCACTACGACTCCCGGCTGTTCAGCATTCAGTGATAGGAAATCCATTCCAGCATCATTCGTAGCAAAAGGCTCACTGTATACTAGGCCCACCAGTACCAGTAGCAGACACCATAGTCTTAGCCCTTGTTGGGCTTGCATTTTGACGTGTAACGTGAAACAGCTACTTTATTGTAAAAGTGAATGTCGGATGTGATATTGTATGCGTGGTTAGAGCATATGTATTAAGAATATTTCAATAAAAAAATAACAGTTAAGTTGGACGATGTCTGTTTTGGTAGTGTAGTTAAAAAGAAATCTGTGCAGATCGTCAGATAGATGTATCTGAAGATATTTTACCGTTCATACTTCCTTCATCCACTCGACTCTTCTCTCTCTTGCTTGTTCCATGGCAAAAGTGGCAATCGGCAAAAATATATCTATTTATAGACATAAACATATGAGTCATACTTTTTTTTAAATTTTTCTTCATACGTAAAAAGGCGCCTACACGGAAGAAGTCGAGCTTTCATGCTACTAGAGTAGAATACGAGAATAGAGACTCTAGTTTTTTTTTAATTAACATAGTGCAACTCTCGAACTGATTATTCACGAAATACACACACAATACATTCAGAAAAGGTGATACTATACATCCGTGAGGTTTGCTAATCAACATACAACATGGCTTCCAGTTCAAGCAGTTCTTATACACCCATAAACGTAGGTGAGCCTTCGTATGAATCGGCGGGAGGGCCTGGACTAGGGCAATCGGATGACGTGGTACAGATTAATCGCTATGAGACGTCCCTTTCAATGTCTGTCGGTGCCGAAGCCGCACTGTGCTATGCGTTAGGTCCAGTTACAGGTGAGCGCATGAAAGAAGAAGAACACTGCGGTGCCCATCATATGATGCTTTCCGGTCTTAAATAGTAAAAACAAAGTGCAGGATTGTATATATTATTTATGTATATATATATATATGTACG